TTGCAGGAGATCTCTATCCGATTTATTATGTATACAACGAAATATCTTAAGATCATCAGCAAATAGCAGGAAGTGTGAGTTTTTGATAGCCTTACCAATATCGTTAATGAACAAGTTAAAAAACAAGGGACCACAATGAGACCCTTGTGGTACACCAGAATAACAATGAAATTCTGTTGAAATATAATTGTTAATACGAACTTGCTGTGTACGTCCCATCAGAAAACTTTTAATCCAATTAACAATGGAGTCACCAAAGCCAGATGCATAAAGTTTGTGGACCAAAAGATTATGATTAACCTGGTCAAAGACCTTTGAGAAATCAGTGTAAACGCTGTCAACCTGAATTTTATTCTCAAATGCACCCAAGTATTGTTGGTAATTGAGAAGGTTTGTTACAGTTGATTTCCCATTAGAAAAACCACGTTGTTCATCAATAATTATGTTTCTGCAAGCCCAGGTGAGATTTATCGAAACCAATTTATCAAAAAGTTTCGGGATTGCTGATTGAATAGTTATACCTCTATAATTGTTAACATACTCGCGATTGCCAGATTTATAGATAGGTGTAAAAAACAATTTTTCCAATATTGTGGAAATACAGATGACAACGATAAATTGAAAATTTGTTGTAAAGGTTTACAAAGGGAAAAAATACAGTTCTTAATAAGTGCTGCAGGTATACCATCAGGCCCTGAAGAATATTTAGTTTTTAAACTGCTAATCCCCTCGAAAACATCAGTCAGACTAAACTTCAGACTCTGGAAATCCACATTATAGTCCAATTTAAAATTAGGTACATTACACTCACTATCATTATATGTACCTGAAAAATAGCTAATTACTATTTATAACTGGGAATAAGCCACATTAAAGATAAAAATACATTTATTGACGTTTCAATTTCCAATTCGGAAATCGTTCTCAAAATACAAATAGTAAATTGTTCTGAAGCTATTTTCTTGTGGCATTGTAAATTAATTACTATTTATAACTGGGAATAAGCCACATTAAAGATAAAAATACATTTATTGACGTTTCAATTTCCAATTCGGAAATCGTTCTCAAAATACAAATAGTAAATTTACTATTTGTATTTTGAGAACGATTTCCGAATTGGAAATTGAAACGTCAATAAATGTATTTTTATCTTTAATGTGGCTTATTCCCAGTTATAAATAGTAATTAATTTACAATGCCACAAGAAAATAGCTTCAGAACAATATGAAAAATAGCTGGCAAATAAATTGACTATTTCATCACCATTCTGAGCTATTACATCCCCACCTTTCTTAGACATTACATTAGGATAAGCACTAGACCCACGTGTAGTACTAACATACCTCCAAAAAGAGTGGGGGTTACTTGAAAGATTTGCTTGAATATTCTCTAAATAGTTCTTATAACATACTGCTTGTAATGCTTTACATCTTTCCCTTAACACCGAAAATTCATCATATGAGTTGCCTGATGCTTTAAAATTCTTGTGAGCTATTTTTTTCTGTATGACAAGCTCAATTAATTCTCGCGAAAACCAAACTGGAAAGTTTAATGATTTAAACCGTTTGATAGGAACAAACTTATTGATGGCATCATATAAAATATGGTAAAAACTTTCTAAGCAGCAATTTATATCTGATTCATCTAATACATTGTTCCAAGGAATTGAGGCTAAATATTCATTTAAAACTTGGTAATTACATTTTTTAAAATCATGATAGAAGACATCATATTTAAGAAACAAATTTAAATTGGCTTTATGTAACACTATAGTATAAGCTGAATGATGTTGCGAAGTATTCAATAGAATATCAGTTGAAATCGACACAACTGCATCTCTCTGAGTACAGAAAACTAGATCTAAAAATTTATTATTAAGGTTAGGCAAAGCATTTACTTGTGACATATTTTGAAAATTGTAGCAAGTACAAATAATATTTGCTGGAGAGTGATGAGGACACTCAACCGTAACACCATTACTAAGATTATCCCAGGATGCTTCAGGTAGGTTGTAGTCACCACAGTAGGTTGTAGGTTGTAGTCTTCACAATCAGTGAATCTTTTCGCTAAGTCTAACATACAGGTGAAATGCTCCTCATATACTGACCCAGATGACCGCGGAGGAAAGTAAACTGCACCAATGATTAACTTTTTTGTGCCACACATAACCTGTGTAAAAACATGTTCCACAGAGGAATCGATAGACCTAACCAACATTGAATTAAGGTGCTTATGTACAGCAATAACACCACCACCACGAGTCTTTGAACTAGTTTGAAGGTCCCTGTCATGTCTATGCACATTAAGTCACTCAATCCCAATTCAGCATCTAAGATTCTAGGTGTAAGCCATGTTTCAATAATAATATCATAATTAGAGAGACTCACAGCATGTCTGAAATTCTGAAGTTTAGTGCACATACCACCAACATTCTGAAAATATAAGCTCAAGGATCGTTTTTTGAATTATTGGATTTACTGACAACGATTGTGGGTACCCCATTAAAATATTTGATCTTCAAATCATTTTCACCCTGTGTTTTTCTGAGTTCTAACTCCTGATATACGGCCTTCACTTTCTCATCCTAATAAATGGTAAGATCTGCTCCAATGCGCAAATTAGATCCTATTAAAGACCTACGTTGTTTTAAACTTGAGATAACTGTTGTTGAATCATTAAATGCGACTTTAAGAGGTCTTGGTTTATCTGTTAGTCGACCAAGACGAAAAACTTTAAAGGTGCTGTTCGTTACACCTATTTTATTGAGAATTCCTTGGACCTCATTTCTATCGTGTTCAGCACGTATATTAGATTCACTGGAATGATTTTTAGGTACATTATATATAATAATATTTTTGGCTCTCCGGGTCCTATCCTGTATCTCCCCAAAAACTGCATCAGTACTTTTGATATTTGCACAATTTTGAATGTTATCATTTCCAGCATTGCTTACTGATTTGTTGCCAGTGGTAGATTCTTTAATAATACCAAGATCTTTTTTTAGATCATCATAGGTTGCTTCCAAACTTGTTTTTAAACCTTTCATCTCCACGCTTATCTTACCAATTTCCTCCTCTAATTCAATAATATTCTGGGTGCTTGCAGTTTTCACTTCATTTAAAGTGGTTTCAAGCGCACTGACACGATTGTTTAGGTTTAGGGCGTTCATATTCCCAGGTACACAATCCTTACACAAGTAAGGCATGACTCTGGTAGCTAACAATAAACATCTTATCTCCGTTGAACTAACTCAAGCACAGCTCCTGCACATCACTCTCTTGCAAAAATCACATTTGTAACCAAACATTTCACCGGAGTTCTTAAGCTCTTTAAAAATGCAATTTGCCGAACACTTACAACATTTGGCTTGCATTTTGAGGTTATTTTTTAGATGTTTTTCAATTTACCAGTAAATTTGAAAATGTACATCAAAACTTTTTAATTTTCAGGCAATTTAAAATAATTATTAGGTACATAATAGTACAGCACAAACAATTTATAAACAACAATTTACTAAAAAATATTAAAATTTTAAAACAGCAAATAAACAATGTACATAACCTTATTTAAACATTTATTGAAATTAAACATTTCAACAACATTCAAAACATCAAATATATTGAGATCTACGAGTATTTTATCTAAAACTAAACCTAACAATAAACAAGAAATAATAAAGAATTGTATTTATAAAATACCTTGTGAATGTAAACATTTTTATTTAGGTGAAACATCAAGAATATTAAATGTTAGAATCATCAAACATTAATCTTATATCAAAAATTGAGAATTTGATAGATCACATATATGTTATCACGCATGGGAAAATAAACATAGAGTTCAATGTAATGATTCAAGTATAGTCCTAAAAGAAACAGATGGTAAAAGGAGAAAAACCAAAGGCGTGGCTCTAATGATGTTAAACGAAACAAATTCTTCGGCAGAATATAATAGCATTTGTTGGAAGAGGAAATTGATAGAAAGAAAATACTACTATTAGTAAGTCAATAACATATTGAGGTTATATTAATTACGAGTCTGTTGTAAAATAACATACATATAAAATCAGAGTTTGATGTTAATATTCAAAATAAGCTGAATATAAGATCAAATACTTACCATATCGGTATAATATCATGAGGTATTTTTCTCATGATTTACTATGAAATCATTAACATGAGAATTTTACTGTCATCATTGCATGTGGTTGTCTTTTTAAAGGCAAATCGCATGCTATGATTTTTCTGAAAAGGATTGAAAAGTTAAAATTGATTTCATGTAATAAAATGCAATCTTGCATTAAAGTTGTCCCAGGAACGTAACTCAAAAATATTGGCATTATTATTTTAAGGTCATTTACTTTAAAATGTATAATATATAATTACCTGAATTGTCAATATGAACGAGACACATAAAATTAAATTAGAATTTTTCACCACATAACAAAAACAAATTTTGTTTAATTTATTAATGTTTTGTATACTCCCAACAAAAATAATAAATTGCATTAAAATGCCGCAAGCAAATATCTTCAGAACAATATTAAGAATACAATATTGTTAGGATCACCATATATAATTTTTATATATTCTTGTAAAAAACTGAGACAAGAAATAAAGACTGTTATAATCCTCTGTCATGAAAGCTATACTATAATCCATTTTCAAATCAAGTTTGGTGAGGATGGTTGTCATATGTTACAGCGTCTAAGTCGACCTTAGTAAACGATGTTTACTTATTCCTTAGATCTATTTAGTGTTCATCTATTCTGGCAGTGAGTTTGTAGTATGTGTTTTTGATTATGGAGGATATGCTGGATTTTCTAATGGAAAGATATCCTTTGAACATTGTTTGCAGTGGTATGTATGTGGTTGGTGTGTTTACGAATGACTTATCCCATTATGTCAGTGGATTTTTAAAGGTATATTAGGATAGGACACCCTGTTGGGTTACTTTTTTAAATTCAACAAAATACAAATTGTCTTTCAATCGCATTGCGTCTATATTACTAGACGGGGAGTAGTTATCAGTTTAGTTTGATTTACCACATCGTAATATTTATCAATGACTTCAACTTTGTGCAAAGTCAAAATGTGAAGTGGATGTAGTGGCTATCAATAATAAAAAATAATAATGTCTTTTATAAAGTTTTAAAGGACCATTAATAACATAATATTATAATTTGTTTAACGTTTCAAATAAGTTTTCAATCTTTTCTCGGGGGTTTCACAGGTTGTATATGAGTTCCAACAGATGGATTAGAAGGTTCCACTATTGGGCTTAAAGATCTACAGGAGGTCCAACAGGTTCACCGGGTGGTTTAGTGTGATGAGCCGTAGGTTGAACAGGTTAAGCTGGGGGTTTCACAGGTTGTTCAGGTGGTTTCACAGGTGGACCAGGAGGTCCAACAGGTGGACCAGATGGCTTAGTATGAGGACTCGTAGGTCTAATGGTTGGACCTGGAGGTTTCACAGGTGGACCAGGCAGTCCAACAGGTTGACTCGGCGGTTTGGTATGAAAACCCGTAGGTTCAACAGGTGGACCTGAAGTTGTGGCAGGTGGAGCAGGAGGTCCAACAGGTACATCCGATGGTTTAGTAGAATGACCTGTAGGTTCCACAGGTGGACCTGGAGGTTTCACAGGTGGACCAGGCAGTCCAACAGGTTGACTTGGCGGTTTGGTATGGGAACCCGTAGGTTCAACAGGTGGACCTGGAGTTGAGGCAGGTGGAGCAGGAGGTCTAACAGGTACAGCAGATGGTTTAGTATGGTGACCTGTAGGTTCCACAGGTGGACCTGGAGGTTTCACTGGTAGAGCGGTTGGTTTTACAGGTAGACCAGGCGGACCAACAGGTTCACCGGGTGGTTTAGTCTGAGGAGCCGTAGGTTGAATAGGTAGACCAGCAGGTTTCATAGGTGGTCCAGGAGGTGTCACAGGTGGACCATGAGGCCCAACAGATTCACCTGGTGGTTTAGTATGAGGAGCCGTAGGTTTAACAGTTGGACCTGGAGTTGTGGCAGGTGAAGCAGGAGGTCCAACAGGTACATCAGATGGTTTGGTAGAGTGACCTGTAGGGTCCACAGGTGGATCTGGAGGTTTCACAGGTGAATCGGTTGGTTTTACAGGTAGACCAGGCGGACCAACAGGTTCACCAAATGGTTTAGTCTGAGGAGCCGTAGGTTGAATAGGTAGACGAGTAGGTTTAATAGGTGGTCCAGGGGATGTTACAGGTGGACCATGAGGTCCAACAGATTCACCTAATGGCTTAGTATGAGGAGCCGTAGGTTGAACATGCGAAGCTGGAGGTTTCACGGGTTGTTCAGGTGGTTTCACTGGTAGACCAGGAGGTCCAACAGGTGGACCTGATGGCTTAGTATGAGGACTCGTAGGTCTAATGGTGGGACCTGGAGGTGTCACAGGTGGACCAGGCAGTCCAACAGGTTGACCTGGCGCTTTGGTATGAGTAGGTTTAACAGTTGGACCTGGAATTGTGGCAGGTGGAGCAGGAGGTTCAACAGGTACATCAGATGGTTTAGTAGGGTGATCTGTAGGTTCCACAGGTGGACCTGGAGGTTTCACAGGTGGAGCGGTTGGTTTTACAGGGAGACTAGGCGGACCAACAGGTTCACCGGGGGGTTTAGTGTGAGGAGCCGTAGGTTGAATAGGTAGACCAGTAGATTTCATAGGTGGTCCAGGTGGTGTCACAGGTGGACCAGGAGGGCCAACAGGTTCACCTGGTGGGATAGTATGAGGAGCTGTAGGTTGAACAGGTGAAGCTGGAGGTTTCACATGTTGTTCAGGTGGTTTCACAGGTGGACTAGGAGGTCCAACAGGTGGACCTGATGGCTTGGTAAAAGGACTCGTAGGTCTAATGGTTGGACCTGGAGGTTTCACAGGTGGACCAGGAAGTCCAACAGGTTGACTTGGCGGTTTGGTATGAGAACCCGTAGGTTCAAAAGGTGGACCTGAAGTTGTGGCAGGTGGAGCAGGAGGTCCAGATGGTTTAGTATGGTATGAGGGTTGCACAGGTGAAGCGGTAGGTTTTAAAGGTAGACCAGGCTGATCAACAGGTTTACCGGGTGGTCTAGACTGAGGAGCCGTAGGTGGAATAAGTAGACCAGTAGGGTTCATAGGTAGTCCAGGGGGTGTCACAGGTGGACCAGGAGGGCCAACAGGTTCACCTGGTGGTTTAGTATGAGGAGCCGTAAGTTGAACAGGTGAAGCTGTAGATTTCACAGGTTGTTCAGGTGGTTTCACAGGTGGATCAGGAGGTCCAACAGGTGGACCTGATGGCTTAGTAAGAGGACTCGTAGGTCTAATGGTTGGACCTGGAGGTTTTACAGGTGGACCAGGCAGTCCAACAGGTTGACTTGGCGGTTTGGTATGACAACCTGTAAGTTCAACAGGTGGACCTGGAGTTGTGGCAGGTGGAGCAGGAGGTTCAACAGGAACATCAGAAAGTTTAGTAGGGTGACCTGTAGGTTCCACAGGTGGAAGTGGAGGTTTCACAGGTGGAGCGGTTGGTTTTACAGGTAGACCAGGCGGACCAACAGGTTCACCGGGTGGTTTAGTCTGAGGAGCCGTAGGTGTAATAGGTAGACCAGTAGGTTTCATAGGTAGTCCAGGGGGTGTCACAGGTGGACCAGGAGGGCCAACAGGTTCACCTGGCGGTTTAGTATGAGGAGCCGTAGGTTGAACAGGTGAAGCTGGAGGTTTCACAGGTTGTTCAGGTGGTTTCACAGGTGGACCAGGGGGTCCCACAGGTGGACCTGATGGCTCAGTATGAGGACTCGTAGGTGTAATGGTTGGACCTGGAGGTGTCACAGGTGGACCAGGCAGTCCAACGGGTTGACCTGGCGGTTTGGTATGAGAACCTGTAGGTTCAACAGGTGGACCTGGAGTTGTGGCAGGTGGAGCAGGAGGTCCAACAGGTACATCAGATGGTTTAGTAGAGTGACCTGTAGGTTCCACAAGTGGACCTGGAAGTTTCACGGGTGGAGCGGTTGGTTTTACAGGTAGACCAGGCGGACCAACAGGTTCACCGGTTGGTTTAGTCTGAGGAGCCGTATGGTGAATAGGTAGACCAGTAGGTTTCATAGGTGGTCCAGGGTGTGTCACAGGTGGACCAGGAGGGCCAACTGGTTCACCTGGTGGTTTAGTATGAAGAGCCGTAGGTTGAACAGGTGAAGCTGGAATTGTGGCAGGTGGAGCATGAGGTCCAACAGGTACAGCAGATGGTTTAGTATGGTGACCTGTAGGTTCCACACGTGGACCTGGAGGTTTCACTGGTAGAGCGGTTGGTTTTACAGGTAGACCAGGCGGACCAACAGGTTCTCCGGGTGGTTTAGTCTGCGGAGCCGTAGGTTGAACAGGTAGACCAGTAGGTTTCAAAGGTGGTCCAGGGGGTGTCACAGGTGGACCATGAGGTTTAACAGATTCACCTGGTGGTTTAGTATGAGGAGCCGTAGGTTGAACAGGTGAATCTGGAGGTTTCACAGGTTGTTCAGGTGGTTTCACAGGTAGACTGGAAGGTCCAACAGGTGGACCGGATGGCTTAGTATGAGGACTCGTAGGTCTAATGGTTGGACCTGGATATTTCACAGGTGGACTAGTCAGTCCAACAGGTTGACTTGGCGGTTTGGTAAGAGAACCCGTATGTTCAAGAGGTGGACCTGGAGTTGTGGCAGGTGGAGCAGGAGGTCCAGATGGTTTAGTACGGTATGAAGGTTTCACAGGTGGAGCGGTTGGTTTTACAGGTAGACCAGGCTGATCAACAGGTTCACCGGGTGGTTTAGTCTGAGGAGCCGTAGGTGTAATAGGTAGACCAGTAGGTTTCATAGGTAGTCCAGGGGGTGTCACAGGTGGACCAGGAGGGCCAAATGGTTCACCTGGTGGTTTAGTATGAGGAGCCGTAGGTTGAACAGGTGAATCTGGATTTTTCACAGGTTGTTCAGGTGGTTTCACAGGTAGACCAGGAGGTCCCACAGTTGGACCTGATGGCTTAGTATGAGGACTCGTAGGTCTAATGGTTGGACCTGGAGGTGTCACAGGTGGACCAGACAGTCCAACAGGTTGACCTGGCGGTTTGGTATGAGAACCCGTAGGTTCAACAGGTGGACCTGGATTTGTGGCAGGTGGAGCAGGAGGTCCAGATGGTTTAGTATGGTATGAAGGTTTCACAGGTGGAGCGGTTGGTTTTACAGGTGGATTAGGCTGATCAACAGGTTCACCGGGTGGTTTAGTCTGAGGAGCCGTAGGTGTAATAGGTAGACCAGTAGGTTTCATAGGTAGTCCAGGGGGTGTCACAGGTGGACCAGGAGGGCCAACAGGTTCACCTGGCGGTTTAGTATGAGGAGCCGTAGGTTGAACATGTGAATCTGGAGGTTTCACAGGTTGTTCAGGTGGTTTCACAGGTAGACTGGAAGGTCCAACAGGTGGACCGGATGGCTTAGTATGAGGACTCGTAGGTCTAATGGTTGGACCTGGATATTTCACAGGTGGACTAGTCAGTCCAACAGGTTGACTTGGCGGTTTGGTAAGAGAACCCGTATGTTCAAGAGGCGGACCTGGAGTTGTGGCAGGTAGAGCAGGAGGTCCAGATGGTTTAGCATGGTATGAAGGTTTCACAGGTGGAGCGGTTGGTTTTACAGGTGGACCAGGCTGATCAACAGGTTCACCGGGTGGTTTAGTCTGAGGAGCCGTAGGTGTAATAGGTAGACCAGTAGGTTTCATAGGTAGTCCAGGGGGTGTCACAGGTGGACCAAAAGGGCCAAATGGTACACCTTGTGGTTTAGTATGAGGAGCCGTAGGTTGAACAGGTGAAGCTGGAATTGTGGCAGGTGGAGCATGAGGTCCAACAGGTAGAGCAGATGGATTAGTATGGTGACTTGTAGGTTTCACAGGTGGACCTGGAGGTTTCACTGGTAGAGCGGTTGGTTTTACAGGTAGACTAGGCGGACCAACAGGTTCTCCGGGTGGTTTAGTCTGCGGAGCCGTAGGTTGAATAGGTAGACCAGTAGGTTTCATAGTTGTTTCAACGGGTGTTACAGGTGGACCATGAGGTCCAACAGATTCACCTGATGGTTTAGTATGAGGAGCCGTAGGTTGAACATGTGAAGCTGGAGGTTTCACAGGTTGTTGAGCTGGTTTCACAGGTTGGCCAGGAGGTCCAACCGGTGGACCTGATGGCTTAGTATGAGGACTTGTAGGTCTAATAGTTAGACCTGGAGGTTTCACAGGTGGACCAGGCAGTCCAACAGGTTGACCTGGCGGTTTGGTATGAGAACCCGTCGGTTTAACAGTCGGACCTGGAGTTGTGGCAGGTGGAACAGGAGGTTCAACAGGTACATCAGATGGTTTAGTAGGGTGACCTGTAGGTTCCACAGGTGGACCTGGAGGTTTCACAGGTGGAGCGGTTGGTTTTACAGGTAGACCAGGAGGACCAACAGGTTCACCAGGTGGTTCAGTCTGAGGAGCCGTAGGTTGAATAGGTAGACCAGTAAGTTCCATAGGTGGTCCAGGGGGTGTCACAGGTGGACCAGGAGGGCCAACAGGTTCACCTGGTGGTTTAGTATGAGGAGCCGTAGGTTGAACAGGTGAATCTGGATTTTTCACAGGTTGTTCAGGTGGTTTCACAGGTAGACCAGGAGGTCCAACAGTTGGACCTGATGGCTTAGTATGAGGACTCGTAGGTCTAATGGTTGGACCTGGAGGTGTCACAGGTGGACCAGGCAGTCCAACAGGTTGACCTGGCGGTTTGGTATGAGAACCCGTAGGTTCAACAGGTAGACCTGGATTTGTGGCAGGTGGAGCAGGAGGTCCAGATGGTTTAGTATGGTATGAAGGTTTCACATGTGGAGCGGTTGGTTTTACAGGTGGATTAGGCTGATCAACAAGTTCACCGGGTGGTTTAGTCTGAGGAGCCGTAGGTGTAATAGGTAGACCAGTAGGCTTCATAGGTAGTCCAGGGGGTGTCACAGGTGGACCAGGAGGGCCAACAGGTTCACCTGGCGGTTTAGTATGAGTAGCCGTAGGTTGAACAATTGAAGCTGGAGGTTTCACAGGTTGTTCAGGTGGTTTCACAGGTGGACCAGGGGGTCCAACCGGTGGACCTGATGGCTTAGTATGAGGACTTGTAGGTCTAATAGTTAGACCTGGAGGTTTCACAGGTGGACCAGGCAGTCCAACAGGTTGACCTGGCGGTTTGGTATGAGAACCCGTAGGTTTAACAGTCGGACCTTGAGTTGTGGCAGGTGGAGCAGGAGGTCTAACAGGTACATCAGATGGTTTAGTAGAGTGACCTGTAGGTTCCACAGGTGGACCTGGAGGTTTCACAGGTGGAGCGGTTGGTTTTACAGGTAGACCAGGCGGACCAACAGGTTCACCGGTTGGTTTAGTCTGATGAGCCGTAGGTTGAATAGGTAGACCAGTAGGTTTCATAGGTGGTCCAGGGTGTGTCACAGGTGGACCAGGAGGGATAACTGGTTCACCTGGTGGTTTAGTATGAGGAGCCGTAGGTTGAACAGGTGAAGCTGGAATTGTGGCAGGTGGAGCATGAGGTCCAACAGGTACATCAAATGGTTTAGTATGGTGACCTGTAGGTTCCACAGGTGGACCTGGATGTTTCACTGGTAGAGCGGTTGGTTTTACAGGTAGACCAGGCGGACCAACAGGTTCTCCGTGTGGTTTAGTCTGCGGAGCCGTAGGTTGAATAGGTAGACCAGTAGGTTTCATAGGTGGTCCAGGGGGTGTCACATGCGGTTTAACAGATTCACCTGGTGGTTTAGTATGAGGAGCCGTAGGTTGAACAGGTGAATCTGGAGGTTTCACAGGTTGTTCAGGTGGTTTCACAGGTAGACTGGAAGGTCCAACAGGTGGACCGGATGGCTTAGTTTGAGGACTCGTTGGTCTAATGGTTGGACCTGGATATTTCACAGGTGGACTAGTCAGTCCAACAGGTTGACTTGGCGGTTTAGTATGAGAACCCGTATGTTCAAGAGGTGGACCTGGAGTTGTGGCAGGTGGAGCAGGAGGTCCAGATGGTTTAGTATGGTATGAAGGTTTCACAGGTGTAGCGGTTAGTTTTACAGGTGGACTAGGCTGATCAACAGGTTCACCGGGTGGTTTAGTCTGAGGAGCCGTAGGTGTAATAGGTAGACCAGTAGGTTTCATAGGTAGTCTAGGGGGTGTCACAGGTGGACCAGGAGGGCCAACTGGTTCACCTGGTGGTTTAGTATGAGGAGCCGTAGGTTGAACAGGTGAAGCTGGAATTGTGGCAGGTGGAGCATGAGGTCCAACAGGTACAGCAGATGGATTAGTATGGTGACTTGTAGGTTTCACAGGTGGACCTGGAGGTTTCACTGGTAGAGCGGTTGGTTTTACAGGTAGACCAGGCGGACCAACAGGTTCTCCGGGTGGTTTATTCTGCGTAGCCGTAGGTTGAATAGGTAGACCAGTAGGTGTCATCGGTGGTTCAGGGGGTGTTACAGGTGGACCATGAGGTCCAACAGATTCATCTGATGGTTTAGTATGAGGAGCCGTAGGTTGAACAGGTGAATCTGGATTTTTCACAGGTTGTTCAGGTGGTTTCACAGGTAGACCAGGAGGTCCAACAGTTGGACCTGATGGCTTAGTATGAGGACTCGTAGGTCTAATGGTTGGACCTGGAGGTGTCACAGGTGGACCAGGCAGTCCAACGGGTTGACCTGGCGGTTTGGTATGAGAACCTGCAGGTTCAACAGGTGGACCTGGAGTTGTGGCAGGTGGAGCAGGAGGTCCAACAGGTACATCAGATGGTTTAGTAGAGTGACCTGTAGGTTCCACAAGTGGACCTGGAAGTTTGACAGGTGGAGCGGTTGGTTTTACAGGTAGACCAGGTGGACCAACAGGTTCACTAAATGGTTTAGTCTGAGGACCCGTAGGTTGAACAGGTGAAGCTGGAGGTTTTACAGGTTCTTCAGGTGGTTTCACGGGTGGACTAGGGTGTCCAACAGGTGGACCTGATGGCTCAGTATGAGGACTCGTAGGTCTAATGGTTGGACCTGGAGGTGTCACAGGTGGACCAGGCAGTCCAACAGGTTTACCTGGCGATTTGGTATGAGAACCCGTAGGTTTAACAGTCGGACCTGGAGTTGTGGCAGGTGGAACAGGAGGTTCAACAGATACATCAGATGGTTCAGTAGGGTGACCTGTAGGTTTCACAGGTGGACCTGGAGGTTTCACAGGTGGAGCGGTTGGTTTTACAGGTAGACCAGGCGGACCAACAGGTTCACCGGTTGGTTTAGTCTGAGGAGTCGTAGGTTGAACAGGTAGACCAGTAGGTTCCATAGGTGGTCCAGGGAGTGTCACAGGTGGACCATGAGGTTTAACAGATTCACCTGGTGGTTTAGTATGAGGAGCCGTAGGTTGAACAGGTGAATCTGTATTTTTCACAGATTGTTCAGGTGGTTTCACAGGTAGACCAGGAGGTCCAACAGTTGGACCTGATGGCTTAGTATGAGGACTCGTAGGTCTAATGGTTGGACCTGGAGGTGTCACAGGTGGACCAGGCAGTCCAACAGGTTGACCTGGCGGTTTGGTATGAGAACCGGTAGGTTCAACAGGTGGACCTGGATTTGTGGCAGGTGGAGCAGGAGGTCCAGATGGTTTAGTATGGTATGAAGGTTTCACAGGTGGAGCGGTTGGTTTTACAGGTGGATTAGGCTGATCAACAGGTTCACCGGGTGGTTTAGTCTGAGGAGCCGTAGGTTTAATAGGTAGACCAGTAGGTTTCATAGGTAGTCCAGGGGGTGTCACAGGTGGACCAGGAGGGCCAACAGGTTCACCTGGCGGTTTAGTATGAGGAGCCGTAGGTTGAACAAATGAATCTGGAGGTTTCACAGGTTGTTCAGGTGGTTTCACAGGTAGACTGGAAGGTCCAACAGATGGACCGGATGGCTTAGTATGAGGACTCGTAGGTCTAATGGTTGGACCTGGATATTTCACAGGTGGACTAGTCAGTCCAACAGGTTGACTTGGCGGTTTGGTATGAGAACCCGTATGTTCAAGAGGTGGACCTGGAGTTGTGGCAGGTGGAGCAGGAGGTCGAGATGGTTTAGTATGGTATGAAGGTTTCACAGGTGGAGCGGTTGGTTTTACAGGTGGACCAGGCTGATCAACAGGTTCACCGGGTGGTTTAGTCTGAGGAGCCGTAGGTGTAATAGGTAGATCAGTAGGTTTCATAGGTAGTCCAGGGGGTGTCACATGCGGTTTAACAGATTCACCTAGTGGTTTAGTATGAGGAGCCGTAGGTTGAATAGGTAGACCAGTAGGTTCCATAGGTGGTCCAGGGGGTGTCACAGGTGGACCAGGAGGGCCAACAGGTTCACCTGGCGGTTTAGTATGAGGAGCCGTAGGTTGAACAATTGAAGCTGGAGGTTTCACAGGTTGTTCAGGTGGTTTCACAGGTAGACTGGAAGGTCCAACAGGTGGACCGGATGGCTTAGTATGAGGACTCGTAGGTCTAATGGTTGGACCTCGAGGTGTCACAGGTGGACCAGGCAGTCCAACAGGTTGACCTGGCGGTTTGGTATGAGAACCCGTAGGTTTAACAGATGGACCTGGAGTTGTGGCAGGTGGAGCAGGAGGTCCAACAGGTACACCAGATGTTTTAGTATTGTGACCTGTAGGTTCCACATGTGGACCTGGATGTTTCACTGGTAGAGTGGTTGGTTTTACAGTTGGACCAGGCGGACCAACAAGTTTACCGAGTGGTTTAGTCTGAGGAGCCGTAGGTTGAATTGGTGGACTCGTAGGTTTCATAGGTGGTCCAGTTGGTTTTACAGGTGGACCAGGAAGTCCAACAGGTTGACCGGGTGATTTAGTATGAGAACTCGTAGGTACAACAGATGGACCTGAAGGTTTCACAGTTGGTCCAGGTGGCTTCACAGGTGGAGCAGGTGTTAAAACAGTGTGATCGGCTGGTTTAATATGAGGACTCGTAGTTGCAATAGGTGAACCTGGATGTTTCACAGGTGGACTAGGTGATTTCACAGGTGTACCAGTTGGTAAAACAGATTGACCGGGTGGTTTAGTATGAGTATCCGTAGGTTCAACAGGTGGACTTTGAGGTTTCACAGTTGGTCCAGGTGGCTTCACAGGTGGAGTAGGTGTTACAACAGTGTGATCGGCTGGTTTAGTATGAGAACTCGTAGTTGCAATAGGTGAACCTGGAGGTTTCACAGGTGGACTAGGTGATTTCACAGGTGTACCAGTTGGTCCAACAGATTGACCGGGTGGTTTAGTATGAGTATCCGTAGGTTCAACAGGTGGACTTTGAGGTTTCACAGTTGGTCCAGGTGGCTTCACAGGTGGAGCAGGTGTTACAACAGTGTGATCGGCTGGTTTAGTATGAGAACTCGTAGTTGCAATAGGTGAAACTGGAGGTTTCACAGGTGGACTAGGTGATTTCACAGGTGTACCAGTTGGTCCAACAGATTGACTGGGTGGTTTAGTATGAGTACCCGTAGGTTCAACAGGTGGACTTTGAGGTTTCGCTATTGGTCCAGGTGGCTTCACAGGTGGAGCAGGTGTTACAACAGTGTGATCGGCTGGTTTAGTATGAGGACTCGTAGTTGCAATAGGTGAACCTGGAGGTTTCACAGGTGGACTAGGTGGTTTCACAGGTGTACGAGTTGGTCCAACAGATTGACCGGGTGGTTTAGTATGAGTATCCGTAGGTTCAACAGGTGGACTTTTAGGTTTCACAGTTGGTCCAGGTGGCTTCACAGGTGGAGCAGGTGTTACAACAGTGTGATCGGCTGGTTTAGTATGAGAACTCGTAGTTGCAATATGTGAACCTGGAGGTTCCACAGGTGGACTAGGTGATTTTACAGGTGTACCAGTTGGTCCAACAGATTGACCGGGTGGTTTAGTATGAGTATCCGTAGGTTCAACAGGTGGACTTTGAGGTTTCACAGTTGGTCCAGGTGGCTTCACAGGTGGAGCAGGTGTTACAACAGTGTGATCGGCTGGTTTAGTATGAGGACTCGTAGTTGCAATAGGTGAAACTGGAGGTTTCACAGGTGGACTAGGTGATTTTACAGGTGTACCAGTTGGTCCAACAGATTGACCGGGTGGTTTAGTATGAGTACCCGTAGGTTCAACAGGTGGACTTTGAGGTTTCACAGTTGGTCCAGGTGGCTTCACAGGTGGAGCAGGTGTTACAACAGTGTTATCGGCTGGTTTAGTATGATAACTCGTAGTTGCAATAGGTGAACCTGGAGGTTTTACAGGTGGACTAGGTGATTTTATAGGTGTACCAGTTGGTCCAACAGATTGACCGGGTGGTTTAGTATGAGTACCCGTAGGTTCAACAGGTGGACTTTGAGGTTTCACAGTTGGTCCAGGTGGCTTCACAGGTGGAGCAGGTGTTACAACAGTGTGATCGGCTGGTTTAGTATGAGAACTCGTAGTTGCAATAGGTGAACCTGGAGGTTTCACAGGTGGACTAGGTGATTTCACAGGTGTACCAGTTGGTCCAACAGATTGACCGGGTGGTTTAGTATGAGTACCCGTAGGTTCAACAGGTGGACTTTGAGGTTTCACAGTTGGTCCAGGTGGCTTCACAGGTGGAGCAGGTGTTACAACAGTGTGATCGGCTGGTTTAGTATGAGGACTCGTAGTTGCAATAGGTGAAACTGGAGGGTTCACAGGTGGACTAGGTGATTTCACAGGTGTACCAGTTGGTCCAACAGATTGACCGGGTGGTGTAGTATGAGTACCCGTAGGTTCAACAGGTGGACTTTGAGGTTTCACAGTTGGTCCGGGTGGCTTCACAGGTGGAGCAGGTGTTACAACAGTGTGATCGGCTGGTTTAGTATGAGAACTCGTAGTTGCAATAGGTGAACCTGGAGGTTTCACAGGTGGACTAGGTGATTTCACAGGTGTACCAGTTGGTCCAACAGATTGACCGGGTGGTTTAGTATGAGTACCCGTAGGTTCAACAGGTGGACTTTGAGGTTTCACAGTTGGTCCGGGTGGCTTCACAGGTGGAGCAGGTGTTACAACAGTGTGATCGGCTGGTTTAGTATGAGAACTCGTAGTTGCAATAGGTGAACCTGGAGGTTTCACAGGTGGACTAGGTGATTTCACAGGTGTACCAGTTGGTCCAACAGATTGACCGGGTGGTTTAGTATGAGTACCCGTAGGTTCAACAGGTGGACTTTGAGGTTTCACAGTTGGTCCAGGTGGCTTCACAGGTGGAGCAGGTGTTACAACAGTGTGATCGGCTGGTTTAGTATGAGGACTCGTAGTTGCAATAGGTGAAACTGGAGGTTTCACAGGTGGACTAGGTGATTTCACAGGTGTACCAGTTGGTCCAACAGATTGACCGGGTGGTTTAGTATGAGTACCCGTAGGTTCAACAGGTGGACTTTGAGGTTTCACAGGTGGACCAGACGTTGTCACATGTGGGGCTGGCAGTTTGGTTTCAGTTGGTTCTGGTCTTTTATTGGTTTTACAATTTGCAGCTGAAGGATAATTACATACGAACAGGTTTGCGTCAAATTCAGTTCCAGGTGCGCATGTCATTAAAAAGTTTCCGGGACACATATAAAACTTGGTACAATCTCCTGGATAAGGTATAGTTATATCTCCTTCGGTACATTGTGCCAGAGAATCTGGAATAAATGTTTAAGCTTATTATAAATATATTTAAAAGTATCTTGATGAATTATTTGCTACATAAAATTTTAGTAAAAAAGATTTGAAAAACATTTATATGAAATCTGGAACGTTATTTAATAATTTCAAATAGCATTATTATCTTCTTGGCTAATCAAATGTTATTATGGTGTTGTGATGATATTTCCTTTAAAATTTTTATTAAAGTATAGCAATTCTAACATACAAATGATGGTAGAACATAGTTTGACTAATTAAATATCCTAAATAAACTAAAAGGATAAATAAAAAATTATTAAAGCAAACACAACTGTAACGAAAACAAAAATTTTGTTAAAGGAAACGAATTTAGAAGGGATGTAAAAAGGGATGTTTTGTTAAATGGAGAAATTTGGTTGTATACTAAAAAATATTACTAAAGCAGTTTTAAAGTTGGTAGAGGATGAACATGTATGGACGAATAGAGAGAATAAGTCCAAAACCCAAAAATATTTTGAAAATTGTTGAACAGATTAGTAATTGGCAAAGATAGAGAAGAGATATTCATGTAACTTATTACTTTATTAGTACTATTACTATATTAGTAAAAAAATAATAAATAAAAAGAATGATATAAATAATAATTAAAGCGACACAGAAAATACTAAATAAAATAGTTAAACATGTCTAAACAAACACGGATATTTTTAAAAAGAAAAAGTATGATGCTCAGTTATTAATTCACCATTCAAGATAAATGATGATTTAAAAACTATGTCTTGATAGGGAACCAAAAGTTGGGCAATTATAAATACTAACATAATCAGAAGCAATTTTTTATTCAACATAATTGTTGATTGAAAACAATTGTTATTTTTCTATTACGAGGTTTGAATGTTAGTATATTGTTTAAGCTTACGTTTCTTCAGAGTGGGTGCTCTCTTTTTTGTTTTGGGAAATTTTGAGGGGGTGAGCAATGTCAGTTGCGAGTGGGTAATTTTGGATAGCATGCTAGTGAAGCAGGGGCTTTGAAGGTCGTAGTGGTTGTAAGGAAGAAGCATTATAAAGAAGAATTTTTGGGTTAGCCAACCAAGCCATGACCATGAGCAGAGGATACCTTAGTGTCACCGACCATACAAAAGGAACGGCTCTTGAATCAGCATTTTTGGCGTATAGCCACTTTATCTTTAATATTTGAGGGAGTTCGTAATACTCATCAGGTAGTTCGTTACCAGCGAAGTGTAGAAGCTTGGTAAAATTTTCGTTTTTTAAAGCTTTTTGTATTGAATTTTTATGAATATATATCTACAGGGTACAGCATTAGTGCGAGGATATCCAATTACTCATCTGTTCAATTTTCAGCTTTTAATGTTAATGAACAAAGAATATATTATTTTAAGAAAAAATGGCTATCTTGGTTCATGTTGGTCATATAAGGTTTTTTTAACGATTGTGTTTTTTAACTTCTTCTTTTTCTTTCTCCTTCTAGCATGTAGGCTTTAAAGCCGGTTTCTTCTTCAATATTAGCATCCTAAATTGTTTAAATTGTCGCACCATCTTTTTCTTGGTCTGCCGATACTTCTTCGTCCATTTGGTGACTTATCTCGTGTTATTCGTACTATTCTATACTCTGCCATTCTTCTGATGTGTTCGTTTCACTCCTGTTTTCCTTTTGTCCCCCATCCACTTATGTCTTTTATATTGCATGCTCTTCTTATGTTTTCGTTTTTCTCCCAATCCAACAGACTTCTTCCTGATATTCGTCGGAGTATTTTCATCTGTTGTTTCTAGCAGTCGTCTCGTTTTATATGTGTCAGGTCTTGTCTCCGCCGTGTATGTTAATATAGGTCTAATTGCTGCTTTATAGACTCTTGTTTTTGTGTCTTGTCTTAGGTGTTTGTTCTTCCAGATTGTGTCATTAAGAGAACTCGCCGCTTTACTTGCTTTTACGCTTTGTTGTCGTACTTCTTCTTTAACATCTCCGTAACTAGTTATATATATTCCCAGATATCTAAACCTTGCTTCCTGCTTTATTATTATCCCATCAATTTCTATTTTGTGTTTTTTAACAATATTTTTAATTAGCCTACTTACAAGAGATACAAAATATCAAAGTCATTGTAAATGTTTATAGGCTGAAAAGTCAGCTCTTTTTGAAAGGTTTTTTAATAGCAATTTTTGATAAAATATTGAAGTTTTTAGAATATATCTTAAAACTAAAGGCTCAAAAAATCGATTGCGATCTCCTTAACACACATTTTTTCGCAGATATACTGGGTTACTTGTTAACATGAAAGAAACAGAAATAAATGTTATGAAAACAAAATACTGGCGACAATCAATAAAGACCACCTTAATATGTGTTGGATTCGACCGTTACTTGATGGAAATTCATTTTATCTAACAATAAAACAAAAAAAAAGTTTTCAGTGTTTTATTGTTAGATAAAGACCTTAATAATTTGTTTTACTGCAAGACATTTTTAGATAAGAGGACTTTATGTATATAAGTATGGTATTGATTAGATGTTAAAGTTAAAAATTTACCTTTTAAACAACATGCTAACGTAACAGTTAATACAAATACTACTTTTTTATCCATGCCTGATACATAATTTCATTTGGAAACTATATTATTACAGATACACGATCACAATTTATAGGTACAAATTTTGATTCTAGAACAAATGATTTGGATGGTACACCTACATTTGTAGCTTTAACGCGAAAATCATTAAATATTATATATACAGAATATGAATTTGTAGGTGTGTGTATATACTGTGACGTAGAAAAAAAAACAGTAATACAAAAACATATCAAAAACGTTACTACGACATATGATAAAAATAACGTATTTCCTAAAAGTTTTGGCACAAATTATTTATCGGCTTTTTTAAAGAAGAAATTAATTTAAACACTAACTATTTATTATACATTACAACTCAATACTTCACAAACTACCATCATCGTTCTGGCTTTACAACCCTGCGTGGGTCCTAGCCTCCTCAAGAATTTCTCTCCAGTCGTCCATAACGATCGCCTTCTCCACCAAGCACGTATTCCCATATTTCTCATGTCTTCATCGATGTTATCAAGGAATCTGGGTCTCCCTTTTCTTATCTGACCAATGGGTCTATCAAGAAGCGTTTTTCTAGCTGGGTCATGTTGTTCCATCAGAATTACATGCCATACCCATTTCAGACGTCCTATTTTAATATGTGTTACGATATCAGGTTCCTGGTATATTCTATAAAGTTCGAAGTTGTATCGTCTTCTCCACACTTCATTGTCAGTCATTGCTCCATAGGTTCGCCTTAATTTAACACCAACAATGTCCACTTAACAATACCAAATCAGTAGCTAAGCGTGGAACATGCGTAGGTGTTTAGGGCCTTAAACAAAAATTTTTACTGTTAGGTGTGAACGAAGCAGCTGTTTTACCCTTCTTATAAACTCAGTAGTTATATCAGTTTCATTTGCTTATGGTCAATCTTTCGCGCTTGTTTTATTCCGAGGTAGTTATACGTATCATTTTCACCCATGACCTTAATGTTCTGGCCGTTTTGCATATCGAATCCACCGGGCTGAACCTTTCCTTTGATAGACACGGCACTTGTCAAGACCAAAGTGCATACTAATGTTTTCAGCATTTGATCCAGGTGGCTTCGGGTGAAAGCCAATAGTTTTAAATCACCCATATACAATAGATGATTAAGCTTTGCCACAACAGTAGTGTTATTTTTGATGCTAAAACCTGTGTCAGTTGTGTTTAGTATCTGGAATAGGGGGTTCATCGCTAGACAAAACCACCGTGGGCTTAACGAATCTCTTTGAAATAGGCCCCGGTTAATTGCAATATTTTCAGTTTCGATATTGTTTTCACCAGGTATTTGGAGGAGAATTTTTGTTTTCCAATCTGACATTATATCGTCGGTTTACTGCCAAAACCAGATAAGTTACATTTTGTTAGTTTTGTGAAAATCAACTTTAAAAGTTTAAACCTACAGTAAAATAACTAGATGAAAGGAAACATTTAATAACCGATAATACAACATAGATTGTGGTACTGTGAAAATAATTAATACCAAAAATCAGAAACAAAATTAGGAAATATTAAAAATTTTTTAAAAATGCAAAAAAAAATCTGTACTTAACCTATTTTGCCTGAACTGATTGGCGTAATTTGAAACTTGTCTTAAAGTATCTTTAACTTAAATATCAACTTCAGGATCACTATCTTCAAGTGCTGGTTTACCAATATTGTCTTTAACATCGTCGGAGGATGGTAAATTATAATAATATGAGTGAAATTCATCTGGAATCACACTCTAGATTTGCACAACTTCAATAAATCTTGTTTTTTTTTGGAACTTATAGGTCGCATCTTCGTATACGCGTTCTTTAGCATTATTTCTTTCAAATTATATATTTTTCAACTTCTCCCAAAAACGTTCATCCCTTTATATTCTGAGGTATGATCATACCTATATTCAAGGATTCCTGGTTTAGCGTTTTGTTATCGAAAACACTTAACTTTTAATCAGTTTACCTTTTCGTTTTTCATGTCTCTCGTTTTATTTTTAATAAGCTTAGAAAGGCTTTCTAAGTCAAGAAAATCTTAATATTTGAGTTTCTGTACAAAAAACGGTTTCTCTTTTGATGATGTTATTCTGGTAATGCGAAATATTATTAGCCAATCATGCGTTGTATACACAGGAACATACTTCTGGGCTCGTTTAATGGCACTGTGCATACTGTCTACTTCCATGTAGCTGTGTCCATTTTCCAAAAACTTTTGCTCTATAATCATCAAGTTGGGATTTTTTTGAACCAAATAGAGTAACAAAGCGCTAACATTTTGGTTTCTGTTTTGTCCACTGCAAGTATCGGAAAACACTGATAATGCATTTACACTATTGGGAAGCTGATTAATAGAAGTAAAGAGGCAGGTGACAATTTCTATGCTACCCCTTTTTCCATGAAGCTCTATCCAGCTATAACAAAACGCATTATTT